ACTTTGTTGCCATCACTGGAGTAAGAGCTGGCTCCTGCTCAGTGGCCACGGCGGCTGAAAGCAGGTATCTGGGGTTTGTTTAGCTTCTATAATTGAAACTTTGTTGCTTTCGGAGCTCAGAGCTGGGCCGTGGCAGGCAGGGACCCTTGGCTTTCTCCGTCACTGGAGCAAGCAAGCCTCCTGTTCGCTTCAGCTGCGTGGCTGCTGGCCCCCATCTTTGTTGGCATTTCATTTGCATATTGCCCTGATTAGCCAATGGGAAGCATAGCGAAGGTATGGTCAATTACCCTTTTTGTCTTTTATTAGGTAGGCTATAGGATGTCCCTATTTCCCCCCCTTTTGCCCCCTCTACCCAGCTCTTGCCCCCCACTTCTCTCTGGCCATCACCATACTGTTGTCTGTGTCCATGGGTTGTGCATATATTTTCTTTGGCTAATCCCTTCTTTAAATTCACTGCTTTAAATTTTTATTTTTAGATAAGTGCTTATAACTGCACTACTATATATTTTCTATTATATCATTTAGAATTAAGATATTTTTTAATTGAACCCTTGTAAATTTTATTTTATTTTATTTTTTAAATATATTTTATTGATTTTTTACAGAGAGGAAGGGAGAGAGACAGAGAGCTAGAAACATCGATGAGAGAGAAACATCGATCAGCTGCCTCCTGCACATCTCCCACTGGGGATGTGCCCGCAACCCAGGTACATGCCCCTGACCTGAATCGAACCTGGGACCCCTCAGTTCGCAGGCCAACGCTCTATCCACTGAACCAAACCGGTTTCGGCGAACCCTTGTAAATTTTAGCACAATTTAATAAATTATGCTAGAAGCAATTAGGAGATTTTTCATGTAATGCAGATACATTTCAATTAACATGTTATTAATTTTTAATTTTTTAATATTTTAATGTGAAATAATCTCATACATGTAAAAAAAACTATAAAATACTACAGCATATTATATGTACCCTTCACCCAATTTCTTAGGTGTTAATAATTTAAACATAACCATTATACAACTAACAAAATTTGGAATATATTTTTCTTATAATCTCTTTAATGTTACTTAATCCATTTTCTTCGTTTTTGTTAATCTTCACCCAAGGATATTTTTCCATTGAATTTTAGAGAGAGTGAAGGGAAAGGGAGAGACACATTGATTGGTTGCCTCCTGCACATGCTTTGATAGGGACTGGGGATCAAGCCAGTAACTGAGGTACATGCCCTTGACTGGAATCGAACCTGGGACCCTTCAGTCCACAGGCTAATGCTCCATCCACTGAGCAAAACAGGCTACAGCTTAATTCATTTACTTTTAATCTATATGTGTCTTTATATTTAAAGTGGGTTTTTGTTTTTGATTCACCCTCCTAATCTGTCTTTTAATTGGTACATTTATACCATTGACTTTCAGAGTGCTTACTGATAGAGTTACTACCATATCAGGCAGCTTCTGGGGCTTCTGGGTCCGGCTTGCCTTGCAGACTCCAGATCCAGGGATCCAGGCGGCAAGGCAGGCCGGCTTCTGAGGCTTCTGGGACCGGCTTCTGGGGCTTCTGGGTCCGGCCTGCCCTGGATGGCGGCGCGCTGGCGGCTAGCGCTGTCCCACTCTGTCTGCAGTATGCAAATTAGCTGCCATCTTTGTTGGCAGTTAATTTGCATATCGTGCTGATTAGCCAATGGGAGGCGTAGCGAAGGTATGGTCAATGACCATATTTGTCTATTATTAGATAGGATTATCTGTTCACCAGGATGTTCATCCCCCATATTTTCTGTAACTGGTAGGTAGGTCTAGAGCAGTGATGGCAAACCTTTTGAGCTTGGCATGTCAGCATTTTGAAAAACCCTAACTTAACTCTGGTGCCGTGTCACATATAGAAATTTTTTGATATTTACAACCATAGTAAAACAGACATATTTTTGATATTTATTTTATACTAGGGACTCGGTGCACGAAATTTGTGCACTGTCGGGGGGGGGTGTCCCTCAGCCCAGCCTGCCCCCTCTCACATACTGGGAGCCCTCAGAGGATGTCCTAGTGATGGCTTATGCCTGCTCTCTGCTCCCCTTGGGGATAGGGCCTAAGCCGCAGTCTGACCTCCCTTTGTGGGAGGTGACCAGGCTGATCAGGGCAAGGCACGAGCCCCATCACCCCGCTGCTGCAGCCACTGCCAGTCACCACAGCCAGCGAGGTTTTTTCATCAATATGGACTCCAGTCCCTTCACCATGAAAAAATGACAACTTTTTTTAGGCATTTTCAAGATGTGTCTTTCATATAATAATAATTTCTTTATTATTATTTTTTATCCTCACCTGGGGATATGTTTCCATTGATTTTTAAAGAATGTGGAAGAGAAAGGGAAAGACAGAGAGAAACATCAAAGTGAGAGGAACACTTTGATTGGTTGCCTCCTGCATGAGCCCTAACCTGGGCCCTGGCCAGGGAGAAGCCTATAACCTAGGTACACGCCCTTGGTGAGAATTGAACTCAGACCCTGCTTTTGGCAGGCCAAGGCATTATCCACTGAGCCAAACCGTCTAGGGCAGGATATGACATTTCTTAGCCCTCCAGCAGCGGACCTTCGTTTTTGTCGCTAGGAGTGTGGTGAAAAACCCTAGATCACCTTTTTGGATTCTTATTACCCAAATTACTAAGAATATTACCAGTGGCATACAGGGAGCTTAGCCAATGAGCGGTCAGAAAAGGTGTTTCCTCTGTAGTTCACACCAATCGCTGGCTTGCCTCTCCCTCACCCCCCGCCCCAGGCCTGACGCCTCTGGCCCAGGCATCAGGCCTGGGCAGGGGACCCCCAGACCCCTCCGATTGCCGGCTCCACCGCCCGCCCAAGCCTGATGCCTCAGCCAGAGGCATCGACCTCCATCACCCTCCGATTGCCGGATCGGCCCCTTGCCCAATCCTGATGCCTCTGCCAGAGGTGTCAGGCCTGGGCAGGGGACTCCCATCTCCCCTTGATCACCGGCTTCTGGGGCTTCTGGGGCCGGCCTGCGGCCTGGGATGGCGGCTCGCGCTGGCGGCTGCACTGTCCCGCCCTGCCTGTAGTGTGCAAATTAGCCGCCATCTTTGTTGGCAGTTAATTTGCATATCACACTGATTAGCCAATGGGAGGCGTAGCGAAGGTATGGTCAATTGCCACGTTTGTCTATTAGGATATTTGAATGCCATTTAACAAAGAAAAATCAACCAAAAAAAATGAGTTCGCGTGTCACCTCTGACACGTGTGTCATAGGTTCACCATCACAGGTCTAGAGGTTTGATTATACAAGTGTCCCCCAGAAATGTAATACACTTTAACAGTTGATAGTTCAGTTTTGAAAATGAAATGTATTTTCATAAACACTGCCTTTATAATTATTCAAAGTGTGCGTATACATTTTTGGGGGGACACCCTGTATACCAGTATAGTGTTTTTGTTTATTTGACAAGACTCCATGGACGCTGTTGTATTACATCAGGAGGCACATAATGTCCAGTTGTCCGACTTTTAGTGGTGATAAAGTTGATCACTGTGTTCAGGTAAAATCCATAGCTTTTACCTGTTGGTTTTATCAGCCATTGATGATTGTTACATAGATCCATTATTTCCTTAGGATTAGAAAATGCTGGTTTTTATATTTATCTATATTTTTATAAAACATAACTTCTCTTCATCAATTTGGTTACCCTGAAATATAGTTTACACCCCCCCCCCCAAAAAAAAAAATAGGATACAGGCAGTATTATTTCCATTTATCACTAATTTTTGGAAAATAATGAAGTTGTGGCCTAGCAATCTCCAAAATTGACCAATAAGATTGTTTCTGTTTTGGGATTATTGTTTTGCATTTAGGGGTTTTAACATTTGATATGTTTCAGTCCATTGCAATCAGTATTTTTGATGCTCAGGTTGTTCCATCTTTGGCCAGTCAGGTCAATTCCTATGCTTTTTGTTTTACAATCCTGGTGGTCTTTTATAGTTGTCTTACTTTCGGTATGTCAAGATGATTCATGTATTTTGAGTATTTCTGGATCTGGGTCTACAATCAGTCTTTTCTCCTGGGAGTACTGTTTCTTCTTTTCAAGTAGAAGATGGTATTTCGAGTCTAGAGAATTAGTTGTGCATTGAGTCCTTTTCAGTGAACAGCTAGGAACTATGTATTTTTTAGAAAAAGAAAATTCTGAGTTCAAATTGATATTTCAGTTCTAGTTTAAGATTCTGGGGTTTTTCTTTAGTATTTCTTTTTATCCTATGCTGAAAATTCTGGTTTCGAACAGTGTTAATATAATTATGGCTTTATCCTGTAGTATGCACATAATTATTTCAGAATAACACTGCTACCAATGTCACTGACAGTAAAAATATTGAAATCATTTTAAGAATGCATTATTTTTTGTCCCTGGAATATCTTACTAGAAACATATATCAGAACACTGTGTTTAAGGTCATTTGAAAATATTCTCCTCTGTGTGATTATACTACCAACTTGATATATGGGAAGATTCATTTTGTGGAGTTTGATTCATGTGGTTTTTTTTATTGTTTCATAATTACATAAAAATATTTACATTTTTCCAAGATTAAATTTTAATTCAATGTACATTTGGAGTATTTTAGAATCCACCTTTATCCTCCCTAGCCTCTTTTCTCTCCTGTAATTATCCATTTTATTATTAATTTTTGGTTTATCCTTCCACTTATTCTTTTTAAAAAGTATAAGCAAGTATATATATCTGCATTCCTACACACACTTATAAAAGGTAGCATATTAAACATACCATTCTGTACATTTTTTTCACGTAATAAATCCTGGAAGTCATGCTGTAACAGTAGAGATATTTTGTAAAAGCTTCATAGTCTTCACTGTATTGATGTACTGTAGTTTATTCACCCAGGCCTTATTGGTGGACATTTGGGTGGTTTGCGGCCTTCTGATATTATTTTAAGTAGTGCTGCAATTAATATCTTTAAGCATACATTCAATGATTTCTTTACTAGGTATTTTGACCAACGTGACTTAGCTGATGAGCCATCTTGATGTTGCTGATCTCTCAGGGGTAGAAGATACTTGTGATGAAGGCAGACTGTCTGAGGAAATACAATGCCAATGAAGTGAGATTGCATCACATTTTCAACAGCATGTAAAAGGTCTTCATCCTAATCTGTGCAACTGAAGTTGATATGTAGGATGTAGAGTGTATGGATTTGAACATCTGAAGTATCTTTGGATAATCCCACTAATTTCTAATGAACAGTTTTCTATTACCATGTGTAAAACTGTATGGTGAAATTTTACAAATGTCCTTGATACTGCTTCATTGTTTATTTACAGATATACACATAAAATTTTATTGAAAGTGTATTTGGGTTACTAAAATTTTATTTGACTCTTGAAAAGAAACAAGACAATGGAGAAAGGGTCTTAGAATTAAAAGTCTAGATTAAATGGCAAATGTGTTCTTAGCAGCAAAATTAATCAAACATTTTGCATTTAAACTCACTATTTTTATTTAAATGCTTTATTGTACAAAATTTAAAAAAAAAACATTATATTGATTTCAGAGAGGAAAGAAGAAGGAGAGAGATAGAAACATCAATAATGAGAGAGAATCATTGATCAGCTGCCTCCTGCAACCCCCAGCCAGGCCTGTGCCCTGATGGGAATTGCACTGTGACCCTGATTCATATGTTGAAGCTCAACCCAAGCCGTGCTGCACAAAACTTCTGTTAACAAGTTATTTTTAATAGTACCCTAATAGGTTGACTGCTTTAATTTTTCTGTCAAATATTCTGTTCATATGTAATTTATCAGGTAGAAATGTTTCCTCTTTTAAGTAACAGAAGATCCTAGTAGCAGTGGTTTCTCAAATAGGGGTTTATTTTTTTTCACTTAACGAGAAGTATAGAGGAGCTGGCTACTGGCATTGGTTGAGTGACTCCATGATACCAAGTCTCTGATTCTTTTGGCCTTTCCCTCATGGTAACAAAATGGCCTCTGCAGTCCAAGGCTATGTCTCTATTATCAAAAACAGAAAAGGGGAGGAGGCAGGGCCTTACACATCTAAGTCTTTCTCATACCAGCAAAACCTTCTCCAGAAACCCACAGCAGATTTGTGCTCGTCTGTTGGCCACAAGTATTTAAGATGATCACCTCTAGTTCCAAGAAAGGTCAAGAAATGATATTGTAAGCCTTTCCAGGCTTTCTAATAAGAGGTAGGAAAGGATTAGGAATAAATGTGGTACAGGGAACCAATAATTTTGCCAATAGTTACAAGTAAAGCAGACATAATTTACATTTTAATCTTTTCTGTTGTCTTCAGAAAGCTGATTTTTAAATGTCGACTTAATAGTCCAAGTTGTTTTCTTGCCATAATTTAAACATTCTCTCGTTGGATATCTAATTTGTTTTCAGTGTTAATCCAGTATAGAAAATGCTACCGTGACTGTCTTCTTGTACATAACTTTGCTTTCTTTGGTCCGAGTTCCCAAGAGTAAGGTTGCAATTCATGAGTCTTATCAGTTAATGTTGCATTTGAAAACTTGACTTAACTGAGATTTTTAAAAATTAGGAATTTTTGTTTCTCATCTGATAATTCTGGTATAGGAAGTTCAGGGCTAGTACAGCAACTTTATAATATCTGAAATATCCTGGGCTGCATCCAGATTTCTTTTTTTATCAATTTTAGCTCTCATCTTTTCAGTCATGGTATGGTTGCTTTGTCTCTTATCTCACATCTGTATTCCAGGAAGGATAAAAAGGTACCATCCCTTCTTGCTGTTTATGTCAAAGGAGCAAAGCATTATAAGAAACCCTCAACTTATAATTTGCTAGTTATATTTTCTGATTATAAAGAAAGATGGAAATAGAAATTTTTTTTAGCAGAGCACACATTGCCATTCTTACAAAAGATGGAGTTCTGTTAGAAAAGAGGGGACCCCCCCCCCCCCCCCCGGCTACTAGATAGGTAGCCAGCACTGTCTACTATAAAGAGCTTAGCTTTCCAACCTCTACCACAACCAACTGTTATAGCTTCACATTTTTTTTGTCATTTTGATGCTGGGGGAGGGGGTACAAAGGAGTTGATTTTATTTAATTTGTTAATTATTGTTTTAATTTACATTTCTTCCACAACTAGTGGTGGAACACGTAGTCATGCACACTCCTCACACAGAATGAAATTGCTGAGGACTGGATAGCATACAAAAGAAGGCAATTTTGCATGTGCTGAAGACAAGTGGTATAAGAATTTATTTTAATACAGTTACACCTCTATTTTCTAGCAAGCTGGAGGATTCCCAAATAGGTAAATAAGAACCCATTTTTTTTATTTTATTTATTTATTTTTTTAAATATATTTTATTGATTTTTTACAGAGAGGAAGGGAGAGAGATAGAGAGCCAGAAACATCGATGAGAGAGAAACATCGATCAGCCACCTCCTGCACATCCCCCACCGGGGATGTGCCCGCAACCCAGGTACATGCCCCTGACCGGAATCGAACCCGGGACCCCTCAGTCCGCAGGCCGACGCTCTATCCACTGAGCCAAACCGGTTTCGGCCGGACTATAGTTTAAAAAAAAACTATGAACAAATTCCTGTGCACACGGCACATATTTTATTTTGAAGTAAAAAAACAAAATGGGAACAAATACAATATTTGTATTTGCATGTGGCCCGTGGGCCGTAGTTTGAGGACCCCTGCTTTACAGTATATGTGGGGAAACATTTTGTCACTATAGCAAGTTGTTTTGAAGTCAAATCAGGGTTAAAATCTCTGCAATCCCAGTAAAGACAGAAAAATCATATAGGAGGCAGTGCAGAGTCCAATTCTGTGGCTGTGGAGTCCAATTCACTGGGTTTATTTTACAGTTCTGCTTATTAGCTGCGAAACTTTGGGCCAGTTACTAAATCTTATCAGTGTACTCCTTTTCTCATCTGTAGAATGGGTAACAGCCTTATGAGGACCTACTTCCTAAGGTTGTAAGGATTCAATGAGATAACACACATAAAGAATTTGTGTAAGTGTTTGACTTAAAGTGCTCAAATGATTATTAAGTTACTAATCATTATTAATATGACATCAAGAAAAATTTTCTGGCCTTGGCCAGGTAGCTCAGTTGGTTAGAGTATTGTCCCCATAAGCCAAGGTTGCTGGTTTGATCCCCTCAGGGCACATATAAGAAACGAATGAATGCATAAATAAGTGGAACAAATAGAGTTTCTCTCTCTCTCTCTCTTTCCATTCCTCTCTCTCTAAATTCAATTTTAAAAAGAAAGAAAAAAATATGTTCTGTTCAAGTCTTACCTTCTACTTTTATAAAATGGAAAAAATGCCTACCTCATAGAGTGGCTATAAGGACTAAGTGAAAGATTTATTTTGCATAGTGTTAATAAATGAGATAGTTTTGCTACTGAGTGGCCCTAATTCACAGAAAAGATCAATTTAATATACTAAGGTATAATTCAGAATTGGTTATCAATATATTCCTAAAAAGCAACCATAACATAAAAGAGATAGAGAAAAAAGAAAGTGTCAGCTCTGGCTGGCTGGCTGAGTTGGAGAACCCATTTTTATAATGACTCATTTTGGCATAAGGATTTTTTTTCAGGAATGTAAGGACAAAAAATAGATATTTTAAGGCATTAATCACAATTAAAAGTATCTTCCAATTTTAATGAAAAATTGAAGAAAGTTCATCCACTCTTAACAGAGGTATAAAACCTTAAATTTGTTGAGAAATTATACATTTTAAAGGTATAATTTAGAAGTAGTTATTTTGAAAATAATAGCTACCAAATAGTAATTTAATTACCATTTGGAGGTCTGTGGAACAATGACAAAGTAAATTAAATTGCACCTGTATTTTTTTATTCACATAAAAGATATATATATATTTTTTTTTGGTCAGGAGGATATTATACACTTACTAAATTTTGATAATACTTTTATTAAAATTTTATTAATTTTTAAGTAAAATTATTTCATGTGTCTCTTAGAATAAACCAATTAGAAGCTGACTTATAATAAAATTGATTAACGTTATTTAATCTACTCTCTGGGACAGAAAGAAAAATGTTTTATAGACCCTAGCCAGGTAGCTCAGTTGGTTAGACGTCATCCCAGTATGCCAAGGTGTAGGTTCGATTTCTGGTAGAGGCACATACAAGAATCAACCAATTGCCCTAACTGGTTTGGCTCAGTGGATAGAGCGTCAGCCTGCAGACTGAAGGATTCCAGGTCCGATTCTGGTCAAGGACATACACTCCCAGTAGGGGGTGTGCAGGAGGCAGCTGATCGATGTTTCTCTCTCATCAGTGTTTCTAACTCTCTATCCCTCTCCCTTCCTCTCTGTAAAAAAATCAATAAAATATATTTTTTTAAAAAGAATCAACCAATGAATTGCTTGAATGGGTGGAACAAATCGATGTTTTTCTTTCTCTTCCTTTCTATAAATCAAATAATTTTTTTAAAAATTAAGTCATTTTAAAAAATTATAGAGATGTCAATTTGATCTCTTGTTTGTATCACAATTATATTTTGCTATGCATATTACCAATTGCCACCAAATTTCTAAAACAAATGTTTCCCAAATTGCCCTAGAATGTTGATTTATTTGGGCTGGTAGTGTTTCTGGAAAAAATGGTTCTGCAATCAAATACTAGGTTAAATAATTTTTTTTTTCTGAACCTATAAACATGCCATTAATATGCATTAGAAATCTACAAAAGATGGATTTCCAAAATGCAACTATATATATATAAAAGGCTAATATGCTAAGTGTCCTTCCCTCCGTCTGGGTAATGACATCACGTAGCAACACCCAGCTTCCTCTCCCTGGTGACGACTAGCCTTCTTGCAGTTTCTTCAGCCCAGGAGCCAGCTTGCTTCATAGCCAGCTGCAAATACTTTACACTGTAACCAAATGTCTGTGAAGCATTTTCCCGTGCCTCATCTCATTCGATTCTCACAGAAGTCCTGGAGTAGGTAAATAGGAGACTCAGTGGAATCCTATTTTCTTTTCATTAGCTGGAAAACGGAGATTTAGAAAGTTTAGAGACTTGACTCAACTGAAAAGAAGAAATGGTGGACCTTGAAATGACTTCAGGTTTTCTCACTGCACAGAATATAGTCAAACACTGCTACAGTTAAATATTTTACCTTTTGTTCTCCCTGCGTGAGCTATAATAATATGCTTCGTGTTAATATTTACTACTGTGTTGCTGACAATTACCTGAAAGAGAAGTTGGGGTGCTTCACTGGGCTGGAAAAAGTTTAGCTAAATCAGAAAACAGGTCAAACTAAGCAGGTTTGTTCTGTATCTATAAAAGGCTAAGTTGACTCGGGCATGTGCAATACATATAAAGCTCTCGCTGGCACCAATCGCACACGTGTGTTTCGATCTGTCATTGTCAGTCTTGAATTTGGTTGACACTTCTATTATAAAGAGCAAATAGTGATATTAAAATATTTCTTCTAATTAATTTCCTTGCAATGTACATGAACTCGTGCACTGGGCCACTAGTTTGATCACAGTACTCATTTTTCAAAGAATACTTTGAAAAAGTTGTAGGTTCTATTTAGTGTCTTAACTTTTATGACCCCAACATTTGTGCCAATCCCAGTCTGATGCCTAAATTGAACTCCCATCCTACAGCAGTATTTTAGTCAGATTTGGAAACAATTCACCAGGTAAACCTGGCTTTCAGTTTCTGCTTTCCCTTTCTCATGACATGTTGGGTTCTAATATGGATTGAATATTTGTGTCCCCAAAAACACATGTTCAAATCCCCAAGGTAACAGTTTAAGACAGGGCCTTTGGGAAGTGATTATTGGACCATGAGGGCAAAGCCCTCTTGAATGTAATCAGGGCCTTTGTTTAAAGAGACCCCAGAGAGTAATAAGCTAGTCCCCTTCACACCAAGTGAGGACAGTTAAGAGATACCCCTCTGTGAACTAGGAAACAGACCTTCACCACACTCTGAATCTAACGCTCCTTCTAACCTGTGGGAAAGAGTAAATAAGGGAATAAAGATAAAGAAGACCTTGGTTGGGTAACTCATTTGGTTAGTATTGTCCTGAAATGCCATGGTTGTGGGTTTGATCCCAGGGCAGGGCACATACAAGAATCAACCAATGAGTGCATAAATAAGTGGAATAGCAAATCAATGTTTCTCTCTCTCTAAAAATCAATAAATAAACCACAAAAATCTGCCACCTACCAATCTGGAGTGATCTGCCTTAAAAAAAAATCTATAATAATAAAAGTGTAATATGCTAATTAGACTGAACATCCTTCCGAGGCTGCTGCTGCGACGGCTGGGGCGGCAACTGGGGATGCCGCCTCGGCCCTCAGAGCCCCTTGCACGAATTTTGTGCATTGGGCCTCTAATATATATATATATATATATATATATATATATATATATATATGATAAATACTTCACGAGCACTTCTATGCAGGGGGAGAAAAATTGAAAGTTGAAACTGTAACAGGAATAAGTATAAAAATTTCTACCTAAAATACCTAATATTCTTTGGCCCTGGAGTTACTGAATTCACATTTAAACTAATCTATATTTCAATTTTATTATATTAATGGATCTCTCCAGGACTGAATTCTATTAAAGTAAAATTATGTTTTTGAGTAAATTTAGGCAGCCTGATATGACATATCTCACACACATCTACACTATACATAATGAAATCCTTATATGGGCCTCTAGTATATAATGAAATACAAGCATAAAAATCCTTAATAGAAATAAATTATAAGCAATAAAATAAAATCTTATTTAGTGTGCTGTTTGCTTTTTTTAATAACTAAAATTCATAAAGGAATCAAAATTTGTTCATTCTTACACAAATGATTCTGACTCTTTTTATGCTAATTTATCAAACCCTGAGTTTTGCTTTTCTGTCTGTGGTTAAACATATCTCCCTAAGCAAGTAGAAATGTTAAAATAAGGATCCTACAACTTGGTGTTTATTTATTTGAAATTAAGATTTTTTCATTCTGAATAGTTTCAATAAAGTGTATATTATGTCTCTATCTGCTTTAACTTGACCTATGTTAAACTGATAAAATACAACCTTAGTCCTACTTAAGAGTACATCTTTCATTATATAAGTTAGCAAATAGCTTATATCAACACAAATGTCCAACAATTTTAATTAAATCATTGCTACTTGAAATACTTTATACATGAATAATTTAACTCTTTACACTGTTGAAGCATTGCATTTCAGTATGTTCTATGACTTCTGTATCATCACCTGAAATTTACCTAAAAAAGAAAACATGAAAAATAATTTTGATTTTAGGAACAAGGAAAGCAAGTCTAAACATCAGTTAGTAGTTTTAATCAAGAAACTTGTTATGACAAACTTCACATTTTTTGTTAAAGGAAACACATTGAAGCTCAAGTCAATTTTATTCTTGGTTGGTATATCTGAGTGAAAAAATCTTTCTGAATGAGTTTACTGATTAAAAAAAACCCCAACTGGCTTTATCTAGTTTTACATAATAAATATTGTCTAGAAAACTTTAAAAGTATTTTTCAATGCTATAGGGAAATTTTCTATTTGAAAGAATACAACAAACAATTTTCCTTTAAAAGTTAAGAATCACCCTGGTGTGTGTGGCTCAGTTGGTTGAGCGTCCTTTTCCCAGGGAACGAGGTTGCCAGTTCCATTCCCAGTCAGGGCACACACTGGGTGGCCGCTTGATCACCAGTAGGGGGTGGGCAGGAGGCAATCGATGTTTCTCTCTCCCTCTCCTTTCCTCTTTCTCTCTCAAATCAGTAAAAACATTTTTTTCTTAAAAAGTTAAGAATCATTCCTTAAGTTGTCTGGTAAATCTGGATTTCTTTAGCACATTTTCTTATATCAATGTCCATTCTGAATTCAAAAATCACTGAATATAAGTATGCTACATATTACTACATTAAATATTAAAATTGGTCAAAGTAAAAAAAATGGTTTTAGCATTTTAAATTTCCTCTAATTTAACAAAAACAAAAAAACACCAGACCTAAAAAATAATAACTAAAAACATTTAGAAAAAATGTGAATTCAACTTACAGGCAGGCATTGAAGACACCTCAGCTGTTACAATACTTTTAATCCCCAAGTTTGATAAGCCACCTCTGATTAAGCCACATGTAAATGCTAAATACTAAAAGGGAAAAAAAAAAAAATGTGAAGAAAATATTAAGGATTTACTAAGACAGAAAAGTCTATGGATAAGTATGACATTTAAGTCTTACTATTATTAAGAAATTCCTGTTTTTAAAAAAAGGTTGTGGAAAAACTTTTCAAATTACTGAAACTTTGGATTGTTAGAAGATTTCCCAGCTCCTTGCAACTAAAGTATGACACATGACAAGTTCTGCCAATTGTGTGCTCCAGTCCAGGACTCTGAATCTAGAGTGAGTGACAAACTCAAGCTGGAAACAGGTTAGAATTAGTTCTAGAGGCAACAAGGGTGGCTGTGTCTAATGTCAGTGCTGACTGAAGAATTCTAACCAGATCCTCCCAGTGGAATGATTAGGGGCTATCTTTCTGGCTGCTTTAACATCCCAGGATTCTTGCCTGTTTTCTTCCCATCAGTTCTGTGAGCTGATATTATTCCATTCAATCAGAATTGGTTTCTGCTTCCCACAACCAAAAATCATGATTTATTCACAACAAAAAATCTATTTCAAAATACCATTAGTGCTGAAATTGAGAAATCCTGTCATGTAGAAACAAGGAAAGGGACTGAGCTACAGCAGAGAAAGCCAGGACAAAAATGGGAACTAAAAAATTAATAATCTAAGGAATTTTTCATTATCTACATTTCTATATTGTATATTATTCAACAATACTATGTATATATAAATAATATAGACTATTATTTTACAACTAGTGGCCCAGTGCACGAAATTCATGCACATTAAAAGGGAATTAATTAGAGGAAATATATAATATTGCTGTTTGCCCTTTATAATAGAAGTGTCAGAGATGAAAGGAAATTAGTAAAATGTATATGAAAATATATAAATGTATTAATAAAAAATAAAATGATATAAGACATAAAAACAAAACATGATATGAAAACAACAAAAACATGATATAAAAACAACAGTGATGCAAACAATGACTGATAAAGTGATTAAACTTATTCTAATATCTCCCTGTATACCACATTAAGAGTGAAAACACGATAATAGCACGGACTGAGAAACCAAGATGGCGGCATAGGTTAACGCTGGAGATTGCTGCCTCGAACAACCACTTCAAAAAACAACTAAAAGAAGGAACGGACATCATCCAGAACCACAGGAAGGCTGGCTGAGTGGAAATTCTACAACTAGGAGGAAAGAGAACATCATACCCAGACTCAGAGGAGGCGCAGTGCTGAAGTGAAATACTAAGGTGCGGAGGTGCACACGGAGCGGGCTGGCGGCGGAGGGCGCGGTTGTTGTTTTTAATCGGGAGGGAGTTTCAGACTCTGAGCTCCAGATCCGGGCGAGTCTCTAGGGACCCAGACTCAAACGGGAGAAGCGGGACTGTCTGGCTTCGGTCGGAACTCGAAGGCAGCTCTCTCTCCGAGGTTTGCAGCGGTTGCTGGGACTCTGTGAGGCAGAGCCCCTAGGGACAGAACTGAGAGCAGCCATAACTGCTCGCTCCGGCCCTCCCTGTAGATCCCCGGGGACCTGCCCCGCCCAAGCCCTGCGCAGAGCTATTTGCCGGATAGCCTCAGGCAAACGCTAGATTAGCACCACCCTAGAGATCTAGCACAGAAGCTCTCCCACTGCAGACACAGCGGACTCTCATAGCCAGTTAGCCTGTAGGTCAAATCACCCCCGGTATTGCAACAACAATCAAGGCTTAACTACATCAAGACTGCGCACAAAGACCACTAGGGGGTGCACCAAGAAAGCATAAAAAATTCGAAGACAAAGAAACAGGACAAAACTGTCAATGGAGGATACTGAGTTCAGAACCACACTTTTAAGGTCTCTCAAGAACTGTCTAGAAGCTGCCGATAAATGTAGTGAGATCCTCAAGAAATCTAATGAGACCCTCGATGTTGTGATAAAGAACCAACTAGAAATTAAGCATTCACTGACTGAAATAAAGATTATACAGACACCCAACAGCAGACCAGAGGAGCGCAAGAATCAAGCCAAAGATTCGAAATGCGAAAAAGCAAAAAACACCCAACTGGAAAAGAAAAATGAAAAAAGAATCTGAAAATATGAAGATAGTGTAAGGAGCCTCTGGGACAGCTTCAAGCGTACCAACATCAGAATTATAGGGGTGCCAGAAGATGAGAGAGAGCAAGATATTGAAAACCTATTTGAAGAAATAATGACAGAAAACTTCCCCCACCTGGTGAAAGAAATAGACTTACAGGTCCAGGAAGCGCAGAGAACCCCAAACAAAAGGAATCCAAAAGGACCACACCAAGACACATCATAATTAAAATGCCAAGAGCAAAAGACAAAGACTCTTAAGAGCAGCAAGAGAAAGAAACTCAGTTACCTACAAGGGAGTACCCATATGACTGTCAGCTGATTTCTCAACAGAAACTTTGCAGGCCAGAAGGGAGTGGCAAGAAATATTCAAAGTGATGAATACCAAGAACCTACAACCAAGATTACTTTATCCAGCAAAGCTATCATTCAGAAGTGAAGGTCAGATAAAGAGCTTCACAGATAAGGAAAAGCTAAAGGAGTTCATCACCACCAAACCAGTATTATTTGAAATGCTGAAAGGTATCCTTTAAGAAGAGGAGGAAGAAGAAAAAGGTAAAGATACAAATTATGAACAAACATGCATCTATCAACAAGTGAATCTAAGAATCAAGTGAATAAATAATCTGGTGATAATAGAATCAGGGACATAGAAAGGGAATGGACTGACTATTCTTGGGGGGGAAAGGGGTGTGGGAGATGCAGGAAGAGACTGGACAAAAATCGTGCACCTATGGATGAGGACAGTGGGTGGGGAGTGAGGGCGGAGGGTGGGGCGGGAACTGGTAGGAGGGGAGTTATGGGGGGAAAAAAGAGGAACAAATGTAATAATCTGAACAATAAAGATTTAATTAAAAAAAAAAAGAGTGAAAACACTTTCAGAGTGCTTGACTAATTTCCCTTGTGATGAAGTATTTACAACTTTAACTGTAACGTCACATGCTCTTCGAACTCGAGAGAAAGCAACATATAACTGACCATGTCCGAAAACGGGTTCAGGTAGGAATATTCCTACTCTGTCTAGGGTTTGTCCTTGTGATTTATTAATAGTCATTGCAAATGCTGGCATCACGGGAAACTGTCGTCAAATTAATTTAAATGGGAGGCCAGTGTCAGATGGGGACAAATCAATTCTTGGAATCAGAACAACCTCCCCCTCTGCAGATCCTATTAATACTTCAGCTTCAATGATGTTAGGTCATAATCTTTTGATAATAAATCCAGTACCATTACAAAGACCCCATTTACTATTAAGATTTCTCAGTAGCATGATGATTGCACCCACTATCAATTTTAATTTATGACACAGCATTCCCAAAAGAGTAATAATATTAAGAAATTCAATGGGAAAATTTTCCTTTTCAGCATCATCTGTTTAATCAATGGAATCATCCCTCAAATATGAGTGAAAATCTCCAAGTATATCCAAAATTTCTTCATTTAATTTTTGAACGTGCTCATTTTTTGGAAAAAGAATCACACATTTAGATATATTTTTAATATTATCTACAGATATACTATTTCCAAAGGTAGCTTCAATAATAGATCTGTTACAATCATTTCACAGGGGATTTCAATAATATCCATTCCTAAATAAAAACTGCTATCAAGCCCTAGCTGGTTTGGCTCAATGGATAGAGCACTGGCCTGCGGACTAAAGGGTCCTAGGTTCGATTCCGGCCAGGGGCACATGCCTGGGTTGCGGGCTCTATCCCCAGTAGGGGGCAAGCAGGAGGCAGCCAATCAATGATTCTCTCTCATCATTGATGTTTCTATCACTCTCCCTCTCCCTTCCTCTCTAAAATCAATAATATATATAAAAACAAAACAAAGAAAACTACTAGCCAGTTTGGCTCAGTGGATAGAGTGTAGCTACGCCTATGGACTGAAAGGTCCCAGGTTCGATTCCAGTCAAGGGCATGTACCTTGGTTGTGGGCATATCCCCAGTGGGGTGTGTGCAGGAGGCAGCTGATCAATGTTTTTAACTCTCTCTCCCTCCCTCTCTGTAAAAATTCAATAAAAAATATATATATTAAAAAAAATAACTGCTATCAAGTTTGCCATCTCCAAGTTTTACTAACCATTCACTATAAGCAGAATTCTCTGATCTCATATTTGTTTTAAAGGACAACTTTCTGAAACATCCCCAAACATTACAGTACTTTAAACTTGTTTGTACTATGGCTGATCGCATAGCATGCGGTACAATACTGAGACATTGTTGAAAATTCCAGAGAACTTTCCCACCAAATGCAACATTCAAATTCATAATTTCTCTTAGTAATCTGTCTATGGCGTTTATAGCAGGACTGGATGCCATGGTGCATTCATCAATACTGAGAAGTTTGGCCTTTTTAATGGTTTTAGCAACTTCACTCTTTATATTGGGTCTAGAAATTGAAGTTTCATTTAATGGAATTGGTCACTTATACTGGGAATGAAAGGTTCTTCCACCGAGAAATTTGCAGCAGTTCCTGTAGACGCTGTAGGTAAAACAGTACCGCCACGACCTCTAATATAATGTATTAAAACTTTATAAGATATGTTTTTCCACTACCACCTGGACCATCCAAGAGAAAGCATTTGGGGCATACAGTTTGATCTTCAATGGCTGAAGTTATAGTCTGAAAAGCAGCTTCACCTCAGTGCTAGGCCTGCCTGCACCTCCGCTGGGCGCCGGGGGCGGAAGTCCCCACCCCCGTCTCCACCCACCAGCTCCAGTCATGACTGGAACACCATTAAGACCAATTAGCATATTATCTCTTTATACATATAGATATACATAAATGGGTACTGATAAGCATTTAGAACTAGAGTCATGAAATTCTGAACTGGAAGAAAGCTTACAGACTGTTTATAATATAGAAATTATTATAACCAGTTTTATTAATGAGGAACTAAGGTCCATAGGTGTTATGTAAATTACCCAATGTCACAAACCTGTACATTGTGGAGCTTAGCTTAAATCTACATTAGATTTGGTCCCAAATTTAGATTTAGTTGGTCCCAAGTCCATGTTCTTTCCTCTATACCTATATTGCCTTTGTGTTAGATGATTTAAGGTATGGGCAATTTTTTTACAGATAAATAGCAACTTAGATGGCCCCAGATATTTTAATCACTTCAAAGGAACCCTTACATTAAAACTTGTCATCTTTCTTTAATACATATGTCTACTTATTTTTTGATTCCTACATGAGATTGAAAAACAAAAAGTACACAAAATCTGGAAATAGATATACTTAACACAAAACATGTATTCTTAGAAACATTGTTAACTATGTTTAAAACAATTTTTTTAACCTACTAAAGGAAATTGTAAATATAAACTCTGAGGTCAATAATTTTGCACAGCTAATAAGAATTTTATAAGCTTGAATATCTTTTCTGACATATCTATGCTATATTCAAAAATTTATCATTAATCCACATTCAATTGGCATTTAGTCATAGTGTTTCTTTAATTAGTCATCATAAGCCTACTTAGCTACAATTTAAGTTATTTTAATATGATGAACATCTGTCTCCTATTTCAAAGAAAAGTGTTTAAACAAAAAGAAATATGGTAAAACCTATTTTAAATTCAAAAGTCTGTTGTATTTGGCACTGTACTTTTCCCTATGGTCCTACTCTTTTCATAATAATAAATTTAAAAAAAACTCAATTTTTTTTATTCCATTAAATACCTTAGATGCATGTTCTAAGTACTGTTTTCCTGCAGACATCTGAGTAAGCAGACGGAATTTGTTGTCCTGAAGTACATAGATGCCCTGTTCCAAAAAACAGAAAACACATCCAAAGTCACTGTAGTCTGCAGTCCTTAAAAATTACCTTTTCTTCAAAACAATAAGAGCTTTCTAAGTTATTAAAACTCCTTTCTATTGGCCAACTTTTCTTTATTTACTGATTGATTTTAGAGAGAGAAAAAAACATCAATTTGTTGTTCCACTTATTTATGCACTCATTGGTTGATTTTTATATGTGCCCTGATTGGGGATCAAACCTGCAACCTTGGTGTATAGGGATGACGCTCTAACCAACTGAACTACCCAACCAGGGCCTCAAATTCTCTTTGAGTGAAGGAGGTCTGCAATGTTCAAGCTCAAGAGTTGTTCAGTATTATATAACTATATATTTATTGAATGCTTTTAGATACTGAAGATAAAAAGATCCATGAGACATAGACTCTATCCTTAACTCACAGCCTAGTGCAAAAGAATCACCAATACTTATCCAGGTAAAATCAGCAGTTATATATTATTAACTCATATCTATGAAGCCAATCATCAGTCACTTCTTCCCATTAGTATTTCAAGTACTTCTAAAGTCAGGTTGATACTGTTATATGAAAAAAATAAATTCTACAGATAGCTACTAGATACATTCTTTTCCTTTTTTATACTTAATCAAAGGGTCAAATCCACTCTAAATACTTCCTTAAATGGATTTTAAATGCACATTTCCCATGTAGTCTATTGATTTTTATATTAAAATATTTTAACAGAAACTATGACAGCAACTAAACAATACAAGACTAATTTAAGAGCTAAATATGTTCCATAAAATGGACTTCAAAAATTACTCTAAAGGCATAAATGTGATATATTTGTGGTTCTGCTTCTTAGTACCTAAGTAATAATAACTAAGAAACTAAATCCTAAAACTTTATCATTCTGACACTGCTATTTTTTAAAACTTAAAATAACTTATTTAATTGGGGGAAAGAAACAGCTATCATAACTGATCATTGTCCCTTTGTCTTTATTCACTATTCCTATTAGAGAATATAACTTATTAATAACATATAAGAGAAACATTCCAAAGTTGAGTAGAAATTATTTTAAGTTTTAAATAAGTAAATCACTAAAATAGGACATTTATAATAAGTTAAAGGACTTAAAAAATAGGCTTTAATTTATCAAAATACCTGATGATTTGTCCTGAGATTGTCGATTTGTTTCTTGAATACTGTAGTCCAGAAATCTTTACAAATGAACTTCATAATATCTAACTCATCCTTGAACCTCGCGGTATCTTTTGTAAACCTAAAAAGATCAACTAGAAGTAATACGGTATTTTTCCTCCAAAGAAAGTAGGAGGGGCAAATTGTTAACTAATTTCCAAATGCCAGAATAGCACTGAATATTGATAGTCATAAAGTGAATAAGCATCAAGCAAAGTAGGTCCCATCTCAATAGATTTACATTCTTTAATACAATTATGGGGCTAAAAATTGGTCTAACAGTAGAGTCTAACAGTAAGTTTCAGTTTTAGGTGCAATTCATCCTAGCACATCAAAAACAGCTGAGGATGATCACGGTATTGTTACATAAAACAAAGTTCAACTATTTAGAGAGAAAGGAATACTAAAAATTGTTCTATAAATTAGAAGATGACTGCATACACAAACATAGACTCTAAAGCATTTCCACCTATGCATTTAAACAAAATATGCATTTAAATAAAATATATTTAGGTTAAAAAAACCTATGGAACAAAATTTTAGATAGCTACTTTAGTACATCAAAGTTTTCAAGGAAAAAAAGGCTCAAATATATAAAATATATATTTTCTTCAATATTAAAACATAATAGTTGAATAACTGAGTTAAAATAACATAAGACCTAAAAAGAAATTTCAATTTGTGAATTAAACAACAGAGAAGAATTAAAGTATCTCAAGTTTTTTTAAAAAATATATTTTATTGATTTTTTACAGAGAGGAAGGGAGAGGGATAGAGAATTAGAAACATCGATGAGAGAGAAACATCGATAAACTGCCTCCAGGATCTCAAATTTTATGTAATCTTTTGAAATGGATCATCTTTGTTCATAACCTACCTGGAAGAAAATTTTCAAATCCAGACTGCTCACCTTTCTATCAATCCTTGTCCCACTCGAAACCCCATGTTTTCCAGCTTAGTAATACAGCGTCCATTTTCCTATTTGAAAAAATAATACCTTAGAATACTTTTAGAATGTCAGAATGTTGGCATTCAAAATTGTTTTAAAATGTTGGCTAAAAAAAATTAATGTAAACATTTATACTTTCTTAATTGAAACATTACAGGAAAAAGTGAATTTTCTTAGTACTAATCATTTTCATAAGGCAATAAGATAAATAGGGAACTGTTGCTTATTATTACTTTTCAGAAATGTTGAAGCCTCTTCATAATTATTCTCCCCCTACTTATTTTCCCCCATTCAACAATTCTTCTCTCCTCAGTAGTTATAAAACTTGGTATCAAGAGCATTTGAGATCTTGCTTCCCAGGAACTGTCCTCAGTTTTGGCTCAAATAAACTCTTATAAAATTCTCTAAAAACAAAAATGGCCTTAGCCAGTTTGACTCAGTGGATAGAGCATCAGCCTGTCGACTGAGGGGTCCCAGGTTCAATTCTGGTCAAGGCATATGCCCGGGTTGCTGGCTTGATCTCCAGTGGGGGGCATGCAGGATCAGCCAATCAATGATTCTCTCTCATCATTGATGTTTCTCTCTCTCTCTCTCTCTCCCTCCCTTTCCCTTCCTCTCTGAAATCAATAAAAATATATTTTAAAAAAATAAATAATAAAACTTGGTATCACCTTTGATTTTTTCTGTCAGTCATTCACTTTGTATGGTCATTAAGTTCTATTGTTCCTTGTTTCAAAATGTCTCTTAAGAGTTATCCAGGCTTTCTAATTCTGTGTGTCTATATTGATGAGCCCATCCTATGCCTGGAATAATGCATTTGCTTTGTTCTTCCTTTGACAATTTCATCGTGTTAAGGCTTTAAATACTATCCCTATGCTAAAGACTCCCCAAATCCTCTGAATGACCAACAAATACCTATACAATCCAGACCCATGTACCTCTTGACCCTCAACCTTCTACTCTTCTTCACTCATTCTGTTCCAGCTGTACTGGTCTCCTTGCTGTCCTTAAACATGCCAGCCATGCCCTTATCTCAGGGCTCTTGCATAAGCAACTTTTCTTCCAGATAGTCACAAAAATCAACCCCCTCACTTTAAGTCTTCGCTCACGCCACCATCTCAAATGAGGCCCATTTTATTTTATTTTTGAGGCCCATTTTAACCATTTCTCTAAAATTGCAACCTCATTCCCTTTCAGCAACTCTCTATGCTAATGATTTTCAAAATGTGATTTTTCAAGACCAGCAACACCGGCATAGAAACCAATAATGATGACGAATTCTGTAATTCCACCCCCAATTTACTGTATCAGAAACTGGGTGTAGAATCAGTAATCTGTTGTAAGACACCCTCTAAAAGTGATTCTGATAGCCTATCCCACTTCCCTGTTTAAGTTGTCTCCAAAGAACTTATTTCACCATTTCATGTACTATACATACATTTTACTATCTATACATTGCCCTATATATACATTTTTATATTGCTGTGTCCCTCCATCTCCACCCTCCACTAGAATACAGCTCCAAGAGGGCAGGACTTTTTATATATTCTGAAGCCTGTTTGTCTTCCACTAAGAAGTATACCATGGGCCTCATTATTTGCTGAACTTTCAATACCATGTATTCCACTTTGGAGGCTATAACTACTAAACCTGTATTTCTAGTATATACTTTATCGGACATAGCATCTAGAGGCCCACAGGCCCCTCAAATAGGCATATCTAGCCTAACTGTCCTCCAGAATTCCCTAACTTCATTAATGGCACCACCATCCCTAGTTACTCCAACCAGAAAACTTCCATTTTCTTCCCTCTTTGCTCCCAACCTTTCTCCACACACTGCCGTCCAGTCCTGTGGAGCCTATCATCTACATGTTTTCCAAAATACATCTTCTCTCTCCATCCTTACTGCTTAAGTTAGCCCTTTTCATTTCTCTCCTGGTTTTCAGTCAGAACCTTCCAACTGATCTCCTTGTCTCTACTTTTTTTTTCCTTTGATTTATTTTCCACATTTATGTATTGACTTTCTAAAAAACAAATCATGTTATTTCTCTACTGGATCTCTCAGAAGCCATCCCCTTTCTTCAAAATAAATCCAAACTCCTTAGCATGACATTACGTGCCTTTCCTTAAATGATCCCTGGCTAGCCCTGGTTGGGTAGTTCAGTTGGTTAGAGCGTTGTCCAGATATACCAAGGCTGTGGGCTTGATCTCCAGTCAGGGCTCATACAAATATCAATCAATGAATGCATAAATATGTGTAACAACAAATCAATATTTCCCTTTCTCTCTTTCCCTCCTGCCCTCTCCACCACCACCACCACCCCCGTCGGACTTTCTCCCCCTAAAAAATCAATCAATCAATACAAAATTTAAAAAAAAAATTAAAAACTGACCCCTGGCCCTAGCCAGTTTGGCTCAGTGAATAGAGCATCAGCCTGCGCACCAAGGGGTCCTGGGTTTGATTCCAGTCAAGGGCACATACCTTGGTTGCAGGCTCCTCCCTGGTTGGGGCTCATGCAGGAGGCAACCAATCTATGTGTTTCTCTCACATTGATGTTTCTCTCTGTCTTCCCTCTCTCTTCTACTCTTCCTAAAAATCAATGGGAAAATATCCTCGGGTGAGGATTAACAACAACAACAACAAACAACAACAGAAACAAACCCAAACTGATCCCTGACTAGTTATCCAGAATCACTAACAGCCACATATCCACAAACATCCTTCCTTCTACCGCTCTGAAACTTCTGCAGCATCTCCAGAGTTCCATGCTCTCTTTTGCCCCTTCTTCTGCCTCCTTGCCTTTGTTAAAGTTGTTCCCTAAACTGCACATGCTTTAAATTCAGCTCAAGTATCACCTCCTCCCAGAAACCTTCCCTGATGCTCCTGTTTTCCTAGAGCACACTGTACATACATTTATTGTACTTAACACTATCCTTGGTTTTTCTGTTATTTTCCACACTCATTCCCAAACATGCTAAGGTGGAATAAGTACCTATAAGTCATGATGGTAGAACAATCTACTCTTTGTAGAATCATCCAGGAGCATATTGGTTAGCAGGAAATACACTTACTATGTAGGCATTCTCAAAAACTAACTATGATCACACGAACTTTTAAAATAAGCCCTAGCAAATACCTTCTGATGTTACTACTTCTTCATTCCCTTTGGCATCTGTGAGTGCTCACTAGAAGGCACCAAATTTTAAGAAAATTGAACTTGACAATATTACCCATTAACTTTTCTAAAAAACCTCTTCTCCATAAGTTGGTAAATACCTAATTATTCAGTTTCTAGAGATTTAATTCCTCTTTAATATAGTTTGACAATCACTAATTTGGAGGGTGAGAACATTGGTTCTTTATTTCATTTCAAAACTTACGACTTTGTCTAAAAAGATATATAAAAACCATTTCTGGATGACATGATTATGTATCTTTCTTTTACATTTTTAAAAAATATATTTTATTGATTTTTTCCAGAGAGGAAGGGAGAGGGATAGAGAGTTAGAAACATCAATGAGAAAGAAACATCGATAAGCTGCCTCCTGCATGCCCCCTACTGGGGATGTGCCCGCAACCAAGGTACATGCCCTTGACCGGAATCGAACCTGGGACCCTTCAGTCTGCAGGCCGACGCTCTATCCACTGAGCCAAACCGGTTAGGGCTGCCACATAACTTTTAAAAATTACTTTGTTTATACGTACTTTACATTTTCCCCCCACCATAAACAAATTGCAATAGGAAAAGTTATTTATATTATTTTTTTATTGATTTCAGAGAGGAAAGAAAAGGGAGAGATAGAAACATCAATGATGAGAGAGAATCAATGATCGGCTGCCTTCTGCCTTCTGCCGTCCTGGGGATCGAGCCTGCAACCCGGGCATGTGCCCTTGACCAGAATCGAACCCAGGACCCTTTAGTCCGCAGGCCCACAGTGCTCTTTCTACTGAGCCAAACCAGCTAGGCCGCATGTTTTAAAAATTCTTGTGATACACCAGTTGAAAATTGCTGGCTTAAATTATCAGTCATGATTAAAACAGCTCTGTTTGGTTCTTTTGGATTAATACATTAGGAAAAAGATAAATTTTTTTTTTTAAAAAGATGGTTTTCCTAGGCAAGAGCCGGAAGAGAGAAAGTAGAGAGAGAAAATGAAGATTACTGGTTGCATGTTGAGGGCTAGGGGTGGGGGGTCAGGGATAGTATGATAAAGAGTAAAAGGGGTGTGCTACTCATTATTCTTTGGGGAAAAGGAAGACTAGCTTTAAACAAACAGTAAACATCTACTCCTCAGCACTTAACACAAGTGGTAAACATTAATAACACTTGGTTGTTGATGATGATAAAGTCAAAAACTTGTAACTTGGAAAAAAATCTCTATTACAGGTGGATCTGGTAACAACAGAATTTGCTTCTTTTCCAGTACTCTTCCTGAAGTCTTCCTAATGATATCTCCCTAATGACATTTGCCACAGATTGGATGTTTGTGTTGCCCCAAAATTCATACATTGATGGTACTAGGAGGTGGGACCTTTGGGAGGTGAGCCCTTAAAAATAAGATTAGTGCCCTTATAAAACAACTCCCACAGAGCTAGCTAGCCCCCTTCCACCACGTGAGGGCACAGCCAGAAGACATTCATTTATTTATGAACCAGGAGTGGGCCTTCACCAGACATGGATTCTGCTGGCACCTTGATCTTGGACTTCCCAGCCTCCAGAACTGTGAGAAATAAATCTCTGTTGTTTTAAGCCACTCAGTCTATGGTATTTTTTTCCGGCAGCCGGAATGTACTAAGACACTAACCTTCTTGCAGTTTACAATCTGGCAGTTCCTCTTCCTGGATATCCTACAGCAGTGGTTCTCAACCTTCGGGCCCTTTAAATATAGTTCCTCATGTTGTGACCCAACCATAAAATTATTTTCATTGCTACATCATAACTGTAATGTTGCTACTGTTATGAATCGTAATGTAAATATCTGATATGCAGGATGGTCTTAGGCGAGCCCTGTGAAAGGGTCGTTCGACTGCCAAAGGGGTCGTGACCCACAGGTTGAGAACCGCTGTCCTACAGGCATATCAAAATTTCAACCTGCCCCCAACTGAAAAATTCATTATCTTCATCTCTTTCTTCTCCTTTATTTCTCTCCAACCAACTAGGCTTCTCACTCTAAATTTTCAATTCTCACTCGTATAACTAACCAAGTCGTAGAGATTCCACCTCCTATTTTTCAAATTTGTTTGCTCCTCTTCTCTCTGTCCCTGTCTTAATTCAGATTTTTGTCACCTTCTGCCTGAGGGCCTGCAATACGTGATCTTCTCACTACAAGGATCTTCCCATCCAGCCAGTCCCTTTCTTACACATGAATGGGCCATGTCATTCCCCCTTAAAAACCCTTTAACTCTTCCACTAAGAAGGTTCTAATTCTTTATAATCATACAGGGTCTTTCTAGTTTTAGCTCTTTACACATTTAACTCTCCCTATCCAATCCAGTCACAATGAAATACTTAAGCATATTTAAATACTTCACACGCATTCATATCTCTATGCCTTTACCTTTGCTTAGGATGCTTTTCCTACCCCCACTTTCCACCCCTCTTTATCCATAGCATTATAGAAAGGGCTTCTGACTTGAGCATGACTTTGGAATATCTCATTTATAAAGCCTGTTACAACTCCATAATTCCATACCTAATTACCAGCCAAAACCTTAATTATTCGTTGAACCCCTATTCCCCAACCACTGTGAGGCAGGGATTTTATTTTATTCATCTAGCACAGCGTCAGGCCCACAATCTGTACTAAAAGTTTTCGGAGTGAATCAATGAGTGAGTGAGGACTCCCACATATTAGAGGTAACCTCCACAAGGATGGGGCCATTGTTTCCTTCATTACTATACCCCCAGCACCCAGAAAACCAGCTCTAACACACTGTGCATTAAGTATTTTTTAATTAATTAATTAGTTTCCTAATTATAGTAACGCCTGCCAACTACTTTGATCCCAAACCTCATCAGGTTTCTGTCTTGGGGTGGGCGGGGTGGCAGGGACTGCGGCGAGGGGTGAGGAGGGAGGGCGGGCTCGCAGGCTGGGACAGGGCTGGAAATGGAGAATTACTAAGCGGGTGCCAAAGTCGGCTGTGCAATTAACCCTGCCCTAGAGCACGGCAGAGACAACACTGAAAGAAAGGAAATTGGCGGCCTGCAGGTCACAGGTATGGAAATGGACGAAAAGGTGTCAAATAGAAGATGCGAAAGAAAAGCAGATGGAAGACCGCAGACAGCTCCCCGTTACAGGGCCGAGGAATCCGCCGGCAGCACCGGCTCGGGACGGGGTGGGAGGAAGGAACGGAGGGAAACTCACCACCTCCCCCTGCTCCGCGGACTTGTACACGCCTGACACCATCTCGTTATGGAGAAGCAAAAACAACGCCTCGTCCGCCATTTCCTGCTTATTCTTAAGCTCTGGTTTTCGGCTTCCCTTCGGCTCCGGCCCGAGCTATGCGGGCCGCCTCGCCGCCCCGACGGTCTGCGGCCCGGCCCGTGTTGCTAGGAGACCAGGGAATCGACTCAGTCTCCCGAAGGCGGGCTCTGCAGTGAGCCCACCCCGGGCCGGCCCAGGAGAGACTCTGACAAGGGCGGGAACCGAACCGAACCCGCAGACACCCGGCCGGCCCCTGGGCGGGGGGCGAAAAAACAACTTCCGGTCCCCTCTACCCGGGCACCCAGTCAGCTCTGTGATCGCGGAGTTCCTCCCCTGGGTGAACTGCTGGTGCCCGTGTGACGTCGCTGGGGTCCAGGCGATACGGCTGGGGTGGCGCTGGGGACAGATGGTGTTAAGATCAAGGAAACTCCCACGGCCACCTCCGTGTTAATTTCCTGGGAGTTGGATGAACCCACAAGAATGTCTATAGCAGTGGTTCTCAACCTTCCTAATGCCACGACCCTTTAATACAGTTCCTCATGTGGTGGTGACCCCCAACCATAAAATTATTTTCGTTGCTACTTCATAACTGTAATTTTGCTACTGTTATGAATCGTAATGTAAATATCTGATATGCAGGATGTATTTTCATTACAAATTGAACATAATTAAAGCATAGTGATTAATCACAAAAACAATATGTAATTATATATGTGTTTTCCGATGATCTTAGGCGACCCCTGTGAAAGGGTTGTTCGACCCCCCAAAGGGGTCGCGACCCACAGGTTGAGAACTGCTGGTCTATAGGCTTCATCCAAAGCTTCCACTTCCTGCCCTATGTTTAATATGAAAAGTTGTAAAAACAGTGACTAAATCGTAATTTTTCAGGCTATACATTTTAGATATATTGAGAAATTATCCCAATCCATATTAGTTTAAGCCTAGGTAGAAAGACGATTTAAAGCCATTTTGGACACCAGGAAGAGGCAAGGGAGTAAGCAAAGAACTAGATACTCTTGAACCAGAAGACACAAATTAATCAGAGAATTCAGTGAATAGAAAAAGTGCTAAAGACTTCAGAAAAGCAATGTTGTTGTGGGATAGAGTTCATAATAACCCACGACAGATGTGAAACAACTAAAGCAATGCAAATACCCATGTTAGATAAATATATCTCTTAAATTTTGCAAATTTGGATTAGTTAAATGTGTTGCTTAGCATGTGATTAGCTCTTGTTTTAATAGACAAAGCAGATTTTTTTCCAATTAATTCATTGCTTCCCAAAAATTAACATATTGAGTTTTCTCAAATTTTAACCTCTCAACTCTTCATATCCTTTCACAGGAATTTAAGATCATGTCCCATAACTGGAATTATGGTAGCTTTTTCTTTACGTCTCTTCTAATGCTTGGATCACTTTATTTGATCATCACATAAAATAAGCATAAAAGTTCCACCTGAGGTTTTGAAAACACTAAATAGTGTAATTTTGAAAATATAATCTTAATTTTTCCAGCACTAAAATTTCCCATGTGAAGTTAGGTCCTTTATGTCCCAATTGCATTATTTTTTTTTTTTAAAAAAATATGTTTTTATTGATATTTTACAGAGAGGAAGGGAGAGGGAGAGTTAGAAATATCAATGAGAGAGAAATATCCATCAGCTGCCACCTGCACACCCCCTACTGGGGATGTGCCTGCAACCAAGGCACATTCCCTTAACCGGAATCAAGCCTGGGATCTTTCAGTCTACAGGCTGAAGCTCAATCCACTGAGCCAAACCAGTTAGGGCCTAATTGCATTTTTCCTTCATCACCACCACCAAGGAATAGGAGGAATCCAGGCTCCCTATTGAGGTTGAAGAGTAAGCAATTGACCAACTTATTAAGGTTGACTTCTCAAACTACAATAACATGGAATTCTTAGAATATTTTGGAGAATGGAGGGGATGCATTTATTGAGCATCTACTACCGTAAATGTTGAACACAGCATTTCACTGATTCTCTCCCCATAAATCAGACCATGTTAAATTGGCCAGGATCCAAGTAACAGATACTTTGGAAACAGGAATAGATCCTGGTTTTGGTTAACTCTAAAAGCATTTTTTTATGAAAACACTTTTCTATTTGGTGTTAGGATCTACTTTTGCAACATCCTCCTGGTTCATGTACTGCCTGCAACATGGGATTGTAATATGGGTCAGAGACCAGGTATGCTCATAAGCAGAAAGAAATAGTTATTCATTAATCCTCATCCTTCTTACCTAGCTTTACTTTCGCTTTTTTTTTTTTTCAATAGCACTTCTTCCTTTCTAATGATGGGGTGGAAAAGTTTTCCTTCTAGACCTTCTAGGTTTGTTGGCTGGTTTAATAATTAAGGTGACTTAAACAGATTAACAGGAGGAAAATAAATTTAATTTCATGAATTTGGAAGCTCCATAAAAATATGAGACCCCAAAGACAGGCAATTTTTTTAGCTTAGTTCCTGAGCTAGGAACCTGGGGCTTCAAATGGGAGGACAACTCACAGGTAGAAGAGCAGATGTTTGGTAATCAGATGTTTGCCAAGCTATGCAGGCAAGCCTTTCAGATAAAACGTTATCTCTCAGATTATGTACTATAATATTGTACACTTGAAACATATAATCTTATTAACCAATGGCACCAAATAAATTTAATTTTTAAAAAAGAAAGAAACGTTAACTCTGGTAATATCTCTTTCTGGTCCAGGCCCCCTAAGTAAATTACTGTAGGTAATTAGGGAGTGGTAAAAGTTTTTCTTAAGTCTGCTGGGTCTTAACTGCATTCAGCTCAAAATAATTCATATGCCCAACTGGCACCTGTTGGTTTGGCATAGTCTGCTCTCTTTCACTAACATGCTACATAATTTACTGATGTTTGTCCTCTGTCTCCATACACTTTCTGCTCCCAAGCTCCTTGAGGGAACAGATCTTTTTTGTACACTCATGTATCCAACTTCTTGGAATAGTGGCTGGCACATAATAGGCGCTCACTGGATATTTGTTGAATGAATCAGTATACGAATGATCTTTGCTCCCTGAGGAGTTTATAAACTCCAGAAAAGCAGGAACCACACCTATCTTACTCTAGGATTTATCCTCAGAGCCTAGGTTGCTGCTTCTACATGGGAGGAGCATTTAAAGCTTGGGTGAATTAAGATGGTTACTGGAGTTAAATACAGTTGACTTGCTAATGCTTGGTGCCAGGAGGTTGCCTGCTAACAGATGAAAATGAGAACCCAAAGGTTATTTGTAACATTGTTTGCATGAGAAAATGCTTTCTGAGCTAATATATATATATATATATATATATATATATATACACACACATATATATGCTTTCTGAGCTTATACACACACACACACTAGAGACCCAGTGCACGAAATTTGTGCACTTGGGTGGTCCCTCAGCCCAGCTGGCACCCTCTCGCAGTCCAGGAGCCCTCAGGGGATGTCCGACTGACTGCTTAGGCCTGCTCCCCGTACTCCCCCACCCCAAGCTGTCAGTTAGACATCCTTGGCGCTGCCGGGGAGGCAGGAGAGGCTCCCGCCACCACTGTTGCACTCGCCAACCGTGGGCCCAGCTTCTGGCTGAGCAGCGCTCCCAGGGGGAGCACATTGAATACCAGGGGGCAGCTCTTGCATTGAGCATCTGCCCCCTGGTGGTCAGTGTGCATCATAGCGACTGGTCATTCTGCCATTCGGTCGATTTGCATATTAGCCTTTTATTATATAGGATATATAGGTAGAGCAGAACCAGAAGCTGAACAACCATCTCTCTCTCACACACACACATACACACACAACCAATAATAGCACCGGCTCCCTGGACCCCATCTTAAGCTAACCAGCTCTGGGCCAGGTGTAGAGGCTAATGACTATCTCATGTCTTGTAGTTGCTTTTTTGTTGTAAATATCTTGAAGGCCCATCCAAGTCAGATTGCTGGCCCATTCTGGTCCTAGTGGAGGTGGAGGATGTGACAGTTTATTGCTGAGGTAGGATGTCCTTGGACTTAATTCATATGCTAAGACTCCTGGCGCTTCTTATACTAAGTTAGTACGTCTAATATGCTAAGACTACTGGAGCCTTAGGGTCTGAGCCAACTGATTCGAGGGCTGGACAGACAGAGACAGGGACAGTATCCCCAGACTCAGCCTCCTTATCAGGAAAAACAGGCATTTTCTTAAAGCTATTGAGAGGCATAAGGCACGTAAAGCGTTTCACACTTTGAAAGTGTCTTCAAAGTAACTGTTAGCTATTACGTTTAATGGCTTTTCCTGTTTCTTCATTCTTTGTTTCCCTCCACTAATTTTGGTTTAATCTAATGGGGGGGAAAGACTGCTCCCCTCCAACACTCTCTGGGCATGCGCACCAACAGAACAGCCGCACCCTTTCCTAATCACTGATGGGGGTGAGCGGGTGGTGGGTGAACAGACTCGCCTCCCACCCACTCCGAGGGGATTAGGAGGCTAAACAGCGTAAAGCTCGTCACATGACGGATTAAAAGGGCTGCAAACCTCCGCGCTCCTCCTCTGGAGAGCGAGCCCAGGAGCGCGTCCCTCCGAGGACCCAAGGACTCACAATCCCGCCCCGCGACTGCGCCAACAGCGAGCCCGGCCGCCCGCAGCTACATGTGGGGGGGAGGGGCCGGCTGGCGGACTTCTCATTGGCCCAGCGTCACAAAGCCGGCAGATTCTCCCCCTTCCGGTTGCTGTTGGTTGAAGCCGAAAACTACGCCCACCGTCATTGGCTGAGCCCAGCTGTCAATCCTCCCGCGTCTGGCGGCGCGACACAGCCCGGCGCGGCCTGAGGAGCAGTCGCGAAGCCTGCAGCAGGGAGAAGATGGCGGTCGCAGTGAGAACTTTGCAGGAGCAGCTAGAAAAGGCCAAAGAGAGCCTAAAGAACGTGGATGAGAATATTCGCAAGCTCACCGGGCGGGATCCGAATGACGTGAGGTAAGGGCCGGGTGAGAAATGCGGGCTCCGAGAGGCAGCCATCATCCGGCCGAGGTGAATTGGGGGCGGGGAGAGCGGCCCGCTAGGAGAAGGCTGTTACATCGAGGCCTGTTCCCGGGGCGGCGATGGAACCCGGTCTTCGGTGAGGTGGGGAGTCTCCAGGGCCCCCGCCGTAGGTCCCCGGGCTCGGGTGCGTGAGGTAGGACAGCGCGGCCCGGGCGCGCCGGCGGCCTCCAGGCCTGTGGGGAGGAAGGCCGGCACCGCCGCTTCCCGCCCTGGCTCTGCAGGCCCCGAGCTGCCGCACCAGGCCCCGCCCCCGCC